AGGCTGTATTGCACTGGGTAAATCTGCTGCAAAAGACCTCTTTAAAGTGCTGAAGAGCAAAGATGTCCTTGAGGACTAAGGTGTGCCTGACCCAAGCCATGGCATTTTCAATTGCCTCATATGTATGTGAAAGCTGGACAATGAATAAGAAAGACCAAAGAAGAGTTGATGTGTTTGAGTTGTAGTGCTGACGAAGAATATTGAAAGTACTATAGACTGCCAGAAGAACTAACAGATCTGTCCTGGAAGAAGTATAACCAGAATGCTCCTTGGAAGTGAGAATGGCCAGACTTCGCCTCATATACTTTGGACATGCTGTTAGAAGGGACCATTCCCTGGAAAAGGATATTATGCTTAAGTGAAGGGTCAGCGAAAATGGGGAAGGCCCTCTATGAGATGGATTGACACAGTAGCTGCAATGATGGGCTCAGGTATAGCAAGGATTGTGAGGCTGGTGCAGGAGCAGGCAATGTTTTGTTCTGTTGGGCATACGGTCACTATGAGTTGCAGCAGACTGGATGGCACGTAACAATAACAATATGTATAAAGCCAATTGCTGCTAAGCAATATTCAGACTCATAGTGACCTTACAGGACAGAGGACAACTATCTCATAGGATTTTCAAGGCTTCAAAGAAGCACAGTTTTGTATCTTTCTCCTGCAGAGAGGCTGGTGGGTTCAAATCACCAACCTTTGGTTAGTCACCGAGTGCCATCAGGGCTCCTATCTTTTTCTCTCTCTAAATCCACGTGTGTGTGTGTGTATATGGGCTGTCTCTGATATACCTTCTTTGAAATGTGACTATAATACTAGTGCAAATACTGGACAAAAAGACTATTAGACAAAAGTGATGTATGCCGTTTTAGCAGAATGAGATGAACTGGATTATAAAATTTTAGTAAATGTGAGATACTAAGATTTTTATTATACAGCACATAACAACAAACAACAACTACTACGTTTTATACAAAAAGAATATTCCACATATTCTATAACAATGAAAATTAATCAGTGAGCATAGCTGTTTCTACAATCAGTGTAAAATTCTATGGATCTCCCACAGCAAAATATTCCCTTTCATTGATTTTCCTTCAAATGGCTCCTGCTTCTATTTAGATATTTGTTTAATAATAAATGCTACAATTATATAGGAAATGAAATCAGAAAATTTAATAATCTGAAAACAAATATTACAAATTATTTGTAATCAATTTTTCATCTCTAACATGTTATATTTAAAAGTATTTATTTCTATTCTTTGTTCTTATAAATTGTTCAATAATATCAGCACAATTAAGCTGCCTAACAATATCTGTGCACTGTTGTCAAGTCAGATCCGACACATAGTGACCCCTCCTTGGGTTTCCAAGGCAGTATCCCTATGGAAGTAGATTGTCCAACCTTCCTTCCGAGAAGTGGTTGGTAGGTTTGAACCATCAGCCTTCTGGTTAGCAGTCAGTTGCCTTAGGCACTTCACCACCAGAAAACCCAAGTCACTGCTGCCAAGTTGGTTCTGACTCACAGCGACCCCTCCTTGGGTTTCTGAGGTTGTATCTCTATGGAAGTAGATTGCCCAGTCTTTCTTCTGAGGAGTGGCTAATGGGTTTGAACCACCTGCCCTCTGGTTAGCAGTCAAATGCCTTAGGCACTAAGCTACCAGAGCTCCCTCAGTAAGTAAAGGTGGCAAAAAAAATGTGTAGAGTAACTGAATAGTAGAAAAAAAAAAATCAAATGCTTTCAGACAATAATCTACTATGCTACATCCTACAAGATTAAGTGAATATGTAGCACATGGTATGAAAATGGTATATTTGTATATTTATTTAAAGTATATATATATATATATATTTTATGTCCTAAAAATTTTTTGTTGCATACCTTATATGCCCTGACATACTTGGCAGCATTGTCATAAGACTAGCCTAGCCTCTGTACTTAGAAAAATTAATTTTGCAAACTTCACAAAAATAGTGAAGTACGTGATTTTTAATTTCTTCATCTATATAACTTTTTAAGCTAGTAAATGTGATACATTGTTCAACAGATTTTTCATCTGTTGGAGATAAATAAAACCAAACTCACTGTGATTGAATCAATTTCAACTGATAGCAACCCTCTTTGGGTTTCTGAGGAAGTAAATCTTTACAGAAGTAGATTGGCCAGTCTTCCTTCAGCGGAGTGGCTACTGGGTTTGAACTGCCAACCTTCTGGTTAGCAGTCCTAAGTGCCTTAGGCACTACGCCACCAGAGCTCCCAACACTGACACTGAGTTGATTCAGGCTCATAGTGACCCCCTTTGTTTCTGAGGCTGTAAATCTTTATGGAAGTAGATTGCCCAGTCTTCCTTCTGTGGAGTGCCTAGTGGGTCTGAACTGCCAAACTTCTGGTTAGCATTCAAATGCCTTAGGCACTATGCCACCAGAGCTCCTTGTCTATTGGAGACACATATTTATTTTATTTATTTTAATTTTTATTGTTATTTGGGTGAAGTTTACAGAGCAAATTCATTTTCCATACAGCAGTTCACATGCACTTTTTCTCATGACACTGATTGCAATTTCCCACAATGCAACAGCTCTCCTCCCACTTCCTCCCCATAGTTACCTCTTCACTGTGTCCTTCCTTTTCATACACTCCTTCACCCTAAGTTGTCTCCTTGTGCATACACAGCCCTCCTATTCTCCCATGATTGATCTCTCCAAGGAGTGTATCTACCTAATGCAAATGTTTAGCTCCTACACCTGTCTTTTGTTTGGCTAGAAGCCACAGGAATGGGTTCAATTCCAGACCTGAAGGGCAGCTAGGGGCCAAAATCTCAGGGGTTCCATCACACTCTATCAGACCAGCAAACCTCATCCCTTTTATTATTATTTTTAATGATTTTGAGTTTTGTTTCACATTATTCTCCCACTCTATCCAGGATCTCCTACATATATGCCCCTCCAAGTGGTTGACAGTGCTAGCCAGGCACCATCTAGTTTTTGTGGTCTCATAGTCATATAGGCTGAGGATCGCGTGGTGTACCAGTTCCTTGGACTGTTTCCATGGATCCTTGACTCTCTTCATTCTTCTTTGCTTTGGATGAGGAGAGATCCATGGAGATACATATCTTAAAACAATATTTAACTGATCTATATTAGAAAGATCAAGAGTGGAATCTACAAATAAACTGCAATATCATGCTATACTTTTCTCACTGAAAACAGTTGATCAAACTTTTCACTTAATAAGTTTATTAATTCTTCTCATATTGCTGTATATACATGATTTTTCCTTTGTTACCATATTCTGATATGTGATCTGCTAAAAATGAATCAAACTGAGCAACAAATTCAAGTAAACTAAAACAACTTCCATTTTGTGAGGACTCAAACACTTCATCTCCTCCTCCAAAAGACAGTCCACATTCAGCGACTGTTAAAATGACAGTAACAATGCATTGCAAAATTGCTTTCCAGTACTGAAGTTCTTCATTAATTTGTGTTCCCAGATCATGAGTTAAGACAAAAACATGGTCTTCGGTTTAAATATTATAACATACAATTCCTGTAAATTTTATTGTTTTCATGTTTATCAATCATATTGAAGCTGCATCAATTGCTGAATCCATCCAAAGCAAATTGAGAATTAAATGATTTAGGATCGAACAGTTTGCAAACAATTTCGAGATATTAAATCCATTTAGGAGATAAGGAAAACTTATGGCAAAAGCCACTATTAAACTTGGGGGGATTGCAGACACCAGTTAGGTACTACTAACACAGGGCAGGCAATAGACAGTGAAGTCCTGAATTAGGCTGTTGGTAAAGGAAATAGGAGAAAAGCTCCCATACCAACCATTCTCAATAATCAGCAGGAGAACATTACAAAAGTATGATGAATCCTGGGAGCCAGGTGTACATCTTAGGAGATGTGCATACTTAGGGATACAGAGAAATTTTATGCATAATATTATATTTATACAAAATATTTATATTTTTAAATTTTTATTTTATCAGTTTTTGTTGCTGTTGTTGTTCAAAGAAAAAGCAATCAGAGCTGAAGGACATTTGAAAAAAAATCTAACCTCAAGACATTGAAAGTCAGAAGATAAATAAGACTTGAGTCTTGGGGAGAGGCTATCTTTTAGAACACTACATGAAAATAGGCTAATACTGGTATATGACAGAGAGGCAGAATAAAACCAGTGAATAAGATAGTTAATCAGGCTGAATATTGATACAATCCATAAACCTGGTTAGAAATAAAATAATATAAATTTATCTAGAATTAATTTCTTCCTTCTTGACAGAAGGAAACAAATTACATTATATAGAAATTTTAAGATTATTAGAATTTCAGAGAGAAAGCTGTCTATTTGGAGAAAAAAGACAGTATATTAAAAACAGAAAAATTTCACTCACTAATCACAAAATTTGTGCAATATTCTGTATTTCCTGAGTACCTACCACTATTTACATAGCTGTTTTTGGTCATTATGTGAAGTTTTAAGAATGTGAAAAATGAATTTTCTCTCAAATAAAAATTGCTTTTTGATTACTGCCAATACTTCTATTAACTCCTAGCAATGCATTCATTTTTCTACACATCATTTAAGGAAGAAAGTCTTTGTTTCTGCTCTATCATCAATAAAATCAAAACCAAACCATTGCCATTAAGTCAATTCCAACTCATAGTGACCTTCATTGATTTTCCAAGGCTGTCAATCTTTACAGACACAGAGTGCCTCATCTTTCTTTCATGGAGTGACTGGCAGATTCAAATCACGGACCGTTTTGGTTAGCAGCCAAATGTCTTAACCATCTACCATTAATAGTACCTCTTAAATTATTTCTATATTATATACCCTTTAATGTTAATAAAACTGTCTGCTTATAAAAGTCCAGTATCTTAATATTAGTCAAATTCTTATTAAGATGTATATTTCCATTTTATTTTGATCAACAAATGATGAGAGCCAGAAAACTGGGGGTATCATGAAGGAGCTATGTCCTACTCACCAAACCACGCCTGCTGGTCTCCTTGAACTTCTATGGCTAAGCCAAAGTCTGCCAGTTTCACAGCTGCTCCTTTGGATTTGCTAGCTAAAAGCAAATTTTCAGGCTTTATTTAGAAAGGGAAAAAAAAAAAGAGAGAGAGAGAGAGAGAAAGAGTGAAGTAAGTACCTCTTTTAAATGACTATTCAAATTAACAAAATCTTATAAGATTAGAAGAAAAAGAAAGTCATGCACTGTCTTTTCACCCAGAGACTGCTATTCCTAAATCCCAGAAAAAAAAAAATATGGTTAGCAAATGATTAAAAATTGTCATGTGTACATGTGTACAGGCTTCAGACAGATGCATAAATATACTGGAAAGATACTGGGTGGAAGAGAGAATATACTTGGGGAGAGATCAAATGAATGGGAGCACCTGTCTTGACCTGGTCACATGTTTCCAAGGGCCACTTGAGGTCCAGAGTTGGCCACAGACATTGAGGTAGAAGTCTAACAGCACAGACATTTTCAGCAGAAGGAAACTTGGCAAAATGTTAACAAGTGTTGGACAAATCTACAGACATTTGGCAAATGAAACTACATAAATTAAATACTAGTTTACTTCAAGAGTTTGGACCCAAATGTAATGATTTTGATTCCTCAATGTTGCCAAACAATTACTGTACAAATTTTGGAGGCTTATTCTGATTTACGTATTAAAATGATGTCTTTAAGAATCTGTTTATTCTTAAAGGCAGAAAGAGTATACTATTTGCCAAATGTGATAGTTAGCTTTTTATAAGCTTTTTTTTTTTAAACATAACTTACACTTCTTCAAAGTGTGATTCAAAACATTGCTTATATATGTATCTTCATATCTAGGAATTCCATGAGACTTTTACTTTCTTGGGTATTTATTATTACTCAAGGTCTGATTACCCAGTATTGGAATAAGGCTGTGTCTATATATATCACTGTTTCCCAGCTAGTGCATCAAAATTTATTGGTGCTTTGAAAATAAGGATGAGGGCAAATTTTTTAATCTCCCTGGACCCACTCTGTGGATTTTAAGTAATGAAGGGAGAAACACTCAGGAAAAGGAGACTGATTAATACTTACAGTGAAGTCTATATATACACAGGTTTATCTGGATGATGATGTGAATGGACTGGAATATGTATGGGAAAATGGTTCAAAGTTTTCTTACCATGGGATAACACTCAGAAAATTTAGAGATTTGTCTCATACTGAAAAAGAGCTGGGAAACAATGAACTCTACAAATGTCAAAACAATTGTTTGAAAATCTAGAAATTCAGTCCATCAAGTTGGTTTCATTTTATATTGACGAACAACTAATATCATATTTTCATGGAAATGGCCATTTTTTCTTACTGAATTAGTTGATTCTGTTGATTGTTTTGACCTTGTGTAAACACAGCCCAAACCAGCATTTCATTCATTAATTAAGCCAGCCATGCAAATTAGCAAAGACCCATAACCAGGACTTGGAAGAAATTAGGTTAAATAAATCTACAAAAATTCAGAGTGTGGGCAAGTTAAGTTTCAATCAAGTACCAGACTTCTTCAGGCTACTGCTGTTCACTGCCATCAGATTATTATTATTATGACAATCGGTGAATGTGAGGAAACCTTCATAATTTTTAGGGCTCATATGGTTTTGGAACTACCCCAAAAGCTGAATATACAATAATTTATTTTAGGATTTTAGAAGAAGATGTTTTAAGAATATAAAGGCTCTCCACGCTGAATAACTTTTAGTAAAACCTAACATTCAAAATTACTTAGAACTCTTGACTATCTATCACTATCTGTAAAGTATCCAATCCTGCTATACTAGTTGTTGTTGTTGTTGTTATGTGCCGTCGAGTCGGCCCCGACTCATAGCGACCCCTCCTTGGGTTTCCGAGGCAGTATCACTACGGAAGTAGGATTGCCCAACCTTCCTTCCGAGGAGTGGCTGGTGGGTTTGAACCACCAGCCTTCTGGTTAGCAGTCAAGTGCTTTAGCCACTATGCTACCAGAGCTCCTATACTAGTAAGATCAGATATTTTATTTTCACATTAAAATTTACCACATGCAGGCACTTTTAAAATGTAGTCATGAATATTTTCCAGATTTCAATAAATCTGTAGAATAAATAACTTGGAAAAAAATCACCTCAAACTACAAGTAACAGTTGGTTCTATTTTTTTGGTGACCTTCAATTTCAAACGCATTGAAATGTCAATGATTTCTGTTAATACACATATGTCCTAATTTGTCAACCACAGGCTAATTTAAGGAAAGAGTTCCAATCACTTTAGAAATCATTAGTCATTTTAGGTCTCTTAAGTAAAGTGGTATTGAAGTATGTTGAGCAAATGCCAGAATCATTAGTGAATAAACTTTGAAATAAAATTAACGTGCTTTTACTCTTATAACTAAATAATAATAAAAAAGAAACTTCTGGGCAGTGCTGTGTGTATTATGCCCTTAAACACCACGGATCTGTCAATTCAGAATAAACGGGACGCCTTAAATTTTTATCATGCATGAACTCTGAATGACTAGGGCAAATATTCGTAACTAGAGATGACCTAGAAGACTTCACTGTAGAGCCCTGTGAGTCATCCAGGAAAATAATAAATCCATCTGGATCAGTGTTTCATTTTGTACTCATGAAGACTGTTCAGCTGCAGTTATGTACAGGAAAAGGCAGGGCTATTTCAAGAGAATTACAGTATAGACTTTTAAAAATTAAGAGGATTGAAGTGAGTTTGTGTTTGTGTATATCTTTTAGGCATATCTAAAATAAAGAATTATGGAACACAAACTGAAAAATAAGGATGATAAATGGCTTTATTAAATAACTGTTGCTTTATAAAATGTTTCAATACAATATTGCCTTCACGGGCTAGCTCCAAAGAAACATTAAAAATAGCACATGAATTCGATTTATATACAACTCTTTGGAATGTATCACTTTGGATAATTCTGTTATCATATTCTGCAATGGTGTGGGAGGTTTAATCACCAAGAATTTCTAAAGCAACAATTCAATCAGGACCCAAACCCACTGCCATTGAGTCAATTCTGACTCATAGTGACCCTATTAAGGACAAAGTAGAATGGCCCCATGGGGTTTCCAAGGCTATAAATCTTTGCTGGTGGGTTCCAACCACCGACCTTTTGGTTGGCAGATGAATGCTCTAACCACTGTGCCACCAGAGCTCCTTTTAACCAGGACAGGTACATTCTGATCTTTATTCACTCTCCCTCAGACAGCCTCCAATTTAAAACTATGTTGCATTACAAAAGTTCATGGGCAGTAGGTTAGTTTGAAGTGATACTGCCTTGGAAAACCAAGGAGGGTTTGCTATGAGTTGAGTCGGACTCGACAGCACATAACAACAACAACAATACAGAAAGGAAGATAATTTGGGGTTATAGTCTACAATAACTGACAGAATAGGATTTCTCACCTACTCAGTGGCTACTTCCTTAGAAAGGATCACAACTAGACTCTTAACTACCACTGCTCTACTATTTTGATTGCTGAAGACTGATGATAAAGATAAGCAACACTATCTTCAAATGCAGTTAGTTATTACCATGAGGACGTGGCACTGTGAGCAAAATGGTCAACATGATATAGAAAGAAGGTGAAGCTCTGGATTCGTACCCTAGCCCTGACTGTTATTAACTACCTGAACTTGGGCAACTTCCAGAGTTAATTAATTGATTCCTTCATCTCTCAAATGAACATTGTTGTTGTTGTTGTTGTTTGCCGTCGAGTCGGCCCGACTCATAGCGACCCCTCCTTGGGTTTCCGAGGCAGTATCACTACGGAAGTAGGATTGCCCAACCTTCCTTCCGAGGAGTGCTGGTGGGTTTGAACCGCCAGCCTTCTGGTGAGCAGTCAAGTGCCTTAGGCACTATGCTACCAGAGCTCCTCAAATGAACATTATAAAGATAGTATTATATCTCCTAACAGTATACATGGAATTAATGAAACCAGTGGGATTTTTTCAGAGGAACTCTGTCCTCTATAAGGAACAATATTCACATTAATAATTAGCTTTTACACTTCAGTGCAGCTGGCCATTTCAATGTGCAGAACATTCATTATGTGTAATGAATGTTAATCACTTGAGGAATGTCTGTACTTCTAACTTAAATGTAAGCTATTATGCTGGTCTCAACATATTGATATTGTCTCTAAATTCTTACAATGCAATCATTTTTAAGGTTGGTTTTTAAATAGATTCTACTGACATCCTCACACACAGGTTCTGTCCCCACCCCATTTCTTCCTAATGATGCAGGATTTTCCGTGACATCTGGTCTCAGTGTCAACAACCATTTATAGCATATCAGCTGTAATGAGCAGCAACTGTTAGCAAGTTTTGTTCTGCCCTTCCATATGAATACAATGGCAACTTCTTTCTTTGTGATTTGAGATTTTCTTGAAGCTGTACAAATATCTCAAAGTACCTAGGGCATGTTGCTGGAGTACTTTTAGAACTGGAAGAGATCTGGGGGATAAAGTAATCAAAAGTCTTTAGTTTCTAAATGGGGTAGGGAGGTCCAAAAGGATGAAGGAATGGCTTGATAACTGATTTCCTGATTCCTTTCTTTTAAAGATTGTTACAGAAGAACTTCCTTGGATGATTATAAAAACGGCTCATTTTCAAAAAGATAATCCACTGAGGAAGTATTTTTTAGAAGAATGTGATGTACTTGAAAAATTTACTACTCATAGTCCAAATCAGTAAAACAAAGGGGAAAACTTATAATAAAGACATAGTTTTAATACTGTTTCTTAAAATCTCATGAACACATCATGAGGATTTTTGAATTAGTGTTTGCTTTATTAAGAAACTGTTTCACCAATGATCATCTTCAGCATTAGCCATATCACAATTTATCCACTCACATGTGAGACTACCTAGTGAAAAAAGACATGTGTGTGTGTGTGTGTGTATAATTGTATATTTTACTTTCCTCTTCATACTTTTTTCTTTATCTTATAAAAGTAGCAAATTTTTCTCCCATATTACTTGATTTTTACATTCTCTTGGATATTATTTTTTACTTTCTCTCTTCCATTAGCAAGTTTCACTATT